AAAAAAGGAAAGATGGAGGCCGAGAGAGTAGGAAAAAAAGCTAAAGAATGAAGTGATGAGAGGAAGTGATGAAGATGTTTGAGGGCAAAGAACGAGTCAGTGGAGGAAAAAACTGAAGAAAGACTAGAAACTAAACTAGAAACCCTCTTTTTTTGTTCCTGTTCAGTTTGTTTCCTCTTTTTGCATCCCTTCAACATCTTCCTCAAACATCTCCATCATTTCCTCGCTTTATCGTCTGTCGCTGGCTTTCTGTCGTCTCTCTGCTCCCTTCTTTCTCTTTGTTCCATCTTTTGTTCCTAAAAGACGGGATGAAGACGAGAGCAGGAAGGAAAGACGAGAAAAAGGACAGAAAGCTGAAACAACGATGGACTGAACGATGTTTGAGGGCGATGAAGTCAGAGACGAGGAAAAACAGAAGAAAAAGGAGGAAAGAAAGACGAGCAAAGAAAAAGACGAGAAACTAACGCTGGAATAAAGAGAAAGAAACGAGCAAAAGGAAAGATGGAAGCAGCTAAAAATTATAGACTAAATTAAGATGAAGAGGAAATGATGAAGAAAAAGGATGAAAGAACGAGTCAGAGACGAGGAAAGAAAAGACTAGAAATAAGACGGAATAACGAGAAAGAAAGGAGCAGAAAAAGAGGAAACAAGCTCCTAAAATAAGATGAAAAGAGGAAATGATGAAGAAAAAAGTGCAAAAAAAGGCTGAAAGGATGAAAAAGAATTGAAGAAAAGAAAGATTAGAAATAAAAAGGAGGCAAAACAGAGAAATAAAAGATGGAATAAAGAGAAAGAGACGATCAAAAAGGGAAGATGGAGGAAGAGGAAGGAAAGCTAAAAATTATAAAGAGAGGAAATGATGAAGATGTTTAAGGAAGATGAAGAAAAAGGAGGAAAAAATACTGAAAGAACGAAGCAGAGACGAGAAGAAAAAGGAGGAAAGAAAAAATTAGAAATGAAAGATGGAATAAAGAGAATAAAAAAGAAAGGAGGAGGAAGCGCAAGAAACAAAGACGGAATAAAGAGAAAGAAGAGAGGAGAAAATAGGAAGGATGGAGGCAGAGAGAGAGGAAAAAAACCCCAGAAATGAACGACTTGATGAAGATAAAGGGACGAAAAAAGGCTAAAAGAACGACTAGAAAAGAAAAGGAGGCAAAGACAAGGAATAAAACGTGGAATAAAGAGAAAGAAGAGAGGAAAAAAAAGGAAGGATGGAGGCCGAGAAAGAGAAAAAAACAAAAAATGAAAGATTAAAATATGATAAAGAGGAAGTGATGATGATGTTTGGGGACGATGAAGAAAAAGGAGGAAAAGAACTGAAGAAAAAGTTGAACTGAAAAGAGCAGGACGACACAAAGCCGTGAGCGAGACGAGAAGCAGAAATGATGGAGCTGAGTGAAGAAAAAACGTGGTGGAGGTCAGAGGGCCGAGCGGGCCGGAGGAGGAGGGCCGGCGTGGCCCACATTTCCAGCTGCTTCGTGTCAGTAACAGTTATTAGTTTGTTCTGGAGGTTTACATTGGTCTCAGCTCCACTTAGCGCTCGGCCTGTGTGTACATGAACGTCTATCTCTGTGAGGACGAGCAGGCCGCCGCCGCCGTCTGGAGCTTCGGCCTCCGTTCGGATCAAAGCCCTCGACGGACGGAGCGAGCGTTGGCCGCCGCCTCTCGCACGTTTCACCGTCTACTTCCCGTCGGCTAAATATTTACCTCTGGTGTAAAAACACACCTCCACTTTCCTCCTCCGTCACACACAAACACTGTCGGGGCTTCTTATACTTGTGAGGACTTCAATCAAACAAGCAAACGATGTCTTCACTGACTCTTCTCTCAGCATTAGCAACCAAATAAATCTAATTACTCTAGATATTAATTAAGCACAGCCAACAGTACGCCTTATACTGATAGATTATTCTGTATAGTAATGATATATCACAACGTTGTCTTTGTGGACTCGTCTTGACCAAGTGAGTTATGGACAGACGTCATTAAACGCCACACAAGTCTCTGTCATGGTGCCGTCGCTACATAAACTCCCACAATGCTCTCTGGGTCACTACAGGAAACAGTTAGAGGCTCCACCTGGTGGAACAACCAGGTACTACAGCGACTGTACGATACGTTTTCCGGCATGCACGTCCCTCGTCTTCTGCCTCATCGGTAAATAATGTATTTTTAATTAGTTAATCAATTAGCAGTTAATCAGCAATATCTCTCCACCTGGTGGCGCCTCCAGGTACTACAGCATCCATTCAACTAACAATCAATCAGGAACATCTCTAGTCTCTAAAAAAGCCCGTCAGTTATGTAATATGAGCTTTAACCATCACAGGAGTCGTTGTCATGGTGCCCGTCGCTAGCTAAACTCCCACAATGCCCTCTGCTGCCAACATGAACATAAAGTCCAAGTGACTTCCTTCTTGTGTTGCTAGAGTATTAAAGACAACCTTCCATCCTATACTGTAAGCAGCTCCACCTGGTGGCGCCTCCAGGTACTACAGCATCCATTCAACTAACAATCAACCAGGAACATCTCTAGTCTCTAAAAAAGCCCGTCAGTTATGTCATATGAGCTTTAACCATCACAGGAGTCGTTGTCATGGTGCCCGTCGCTAGCTAAACTCCCACAATGAGAATCACTACAGGAAACAGTCCACCTGGTGGAGCAACCAGGTACTACAGCAGATCTACAATATATTATCTGACATGAGTGACCCCCGTCTTCTGCCTCATTGATTAATATATTTGTAATCTGTGAAATTATAAACAGCATTTAATCGATTAATGATTAATGTCCCAAGTCTTCTTCTAGAAACACATTTTTGACCACAGCAGACGTTATGTTGGCATCTATTATCAAGAAAGGCTGATATATGGGATGTAAATACATCAGTCGTCATATGCTAACAGCATGTGACAGCAGGAAACTGTCATTCATAGCTAGCTTCATTAATAATGGTTACTGTAACGTAGAAGTAGTATTTAGGATTGTAGGAAGTCTACATCCCCCCTAAAGCAAAGGCAGCTTCAGAGCACATCAGGACTTAACAGATTAGAACTCATGTCCACTGACTCTCCAGAATTCGTCCTTGGTGAGTTTATGACGCTATTTGTTCATTTGTGTTTTATTTTTTTGATGTCTTCATATTTAACACTCAGTGAGCGTCTGAATTGCTCCTCGGGGATAAATAAAGTTATTTGAATTGAATTGGAACAGATTGTTGAACCAAAGATGCTACGGCGCTACAGGTGGCATTAGCTGCAGGCTAACAGGCACAGCTAACCCCTTAGCATTAGCCGTATCCTAGCACGTTGCTGTTTTTACACCAGGAAACGTCCCCTTTTTTATATCTACATTAAAAAAATATTTAGGTGACAAATGTCATGATGTTTTCTTGTTGGCTTAAACATATTTATTTTATTATTTTTACATCCAAAAGCTGGAATAAACTGATCGGGTTAGCGTGAACAGTTTATAAAAGAGCATATAATTGACTAAATTAGCTCTCACAACAATAACTAAGAGCTTAGATGCTAGTTTAATAGAAAACAAAACAGGATTTCAGTAGCAGTTGAAAGCTGCTGTTTTGCTCATTTGTTTGTTGTAGTTTTTCCATTTAATTTCCACCGCTAACGTTTAGCCGCCGTCTCCCGCTCCTACGCACATCGATCACGCGTGTTTCTGTTCCCGCCGGCTGACGGATGGCGTCCGAGGCGGCGTTCGCTCCCCTCGACTCGCCGCTCGTCTTTAAACAGAGCTGCCGCTGAACGCTAAACACTGTCAGCTCGTCTCCAGCAGCAGATTAGAAACCCGCAGCGTCCCCGCGCAGAAAAACTACAATCGTCTGCCGTGAAATACGAGCGCTGTCCAGACGGAGAGTTTAGCTGCTCGCCGGCTCCGTGTTCGTAAGTTTGGCTCTTGTGTTTCCAGCTCCAGGTCGTGTTGTTCACACTTTAGTCACGAGGACGTCGGTTTGAAGGTTCTTACAGCAGTTTTCTATCGTCTGAGCCTGAAACTCAACCTGCAGGAATATGAAGATGTTCATGTTTGTTTTCATTTTAACTGCTGCTGCGTTCAAGGACACTCAGCCTTCATGGATTTATGAGCTCAAGCTGTCTGCTACTGGTTTTTGTGCTGATGCTGTTCTTCAAAGTTGGTCATTTCTTTTTTTTCTTTTTTAAAATTTCTTTTTAAAGTGAATTTCTAATTAATTCATTTTTATATATTAGTTATTTTAAATTAATTTAATTTTACTTTAATTGATCTATTGTTTGCTTTTACTTGATTTCTATTTTATGTAAATAGTTTTTATTTATAATTATTTTAAATACATTTTATACTTTTATATATTGTCGTACTTTTGTCATTGAAGTCTTTGTAAATGTATTTCTGGAGCAGAAAACATCAGATTATTCTCTTTGCTGCCGTTCATTCAGGAGTGTTTGTGTCGCGTTTAATTGTTCAGTTTGAACTCAGTTAATTAAATAAAAATATAATAAATAAAATCAAATAATTGTTTTATCAATTAAATCATTTTTATTTCACTATATTCTTCTATATGGTTTAATTTTCTATATTTAATATTATATTTATTTTATTTTAAAAACATACATATATTATTTCCCCCCATATTTATTTCTCTGTGGCTGATTTGATTTATTGTTTATTTGTGTTTGATGGGCAGCTGATTGTTTCCTGATCTGTTCACCTAAATAAGATTTTCAGTTTTTACAGTTTGTTTTTTTTAACAGGCAGTTTGTGGACATGATGACAATAAAAAGCTGTTTCAGGTCCTCGTGTCTCATCAGTACGACGTGTTTTGTATTTTTAGTTTAATCTACGTCTGCACAAACCAAACAGGAAACCTCCTGCCGTCGTCTCGCTGTTTGTTAATTGGCTAAATAGTGGAGCAGACCTCCAGGAGCAGCGTCTAAGCCTCCTTCTGGCCTTTAGCGCTCGTATTCTGGTGTAAACGCTGGTGGACGGCGGCGGCGGCCGGTACCTGCTTGAAGCGGGCCAGCTCCTTCAGGGCCCGTCCCCACTGCTGCTTGTAGTGAAGCTTGGACTTGGTGGTCGACTCCAGCTTCCTCTCCAGCTCCACCTGGACCATCACAGAGACGCTCCGTCAGTCGCAGGGTTTAAATGATTAACAACGAGAGAACAGCAGAAAAACGTACGACTTCTTCAACTCCTGGTTTGAATCATCCTCACGTTTGTTTTGTTGTCTTGAGCTTCACAAACTTTCAGCTGATTTCTTTCCTCTTTTTTTTTTTTTGCTCATAAAGGACGAGTGGATTTATTACAGGTAGTGTTATTATCAGTAGCAGTAAAAATAAGATTTATTATTAATTCTGCAGCGTTCTTCATGTTAAATTTAAACGATGATAAACCATTTAATCATTAATTATCATCGTATCTGATGATAACTAATGATTAAATGATGCTGACTGGATGTGGACACTCGGCAGACGGGTCGGTTAAGTGACTAAATATTGGCTTCAGGTTTAACAGTCCTGTTACCAAAGCAGCAAACTGCCAAAACAGGAATCAGACGTCAAACTTTCTGAACTAACGAACACATGACGAGTTGTTCTGCTAGAAAAACGAACCAAATCTACGCTTAAGATTGTGACGAGATATTCTAAATGGAGACAATCAGAGACTGAAGGGAAATCAAACTCCTGGATCGACAAAATAAAAGCAGCTCAGTTTGTGGAGGCTGTAAAATATTTTCAGCATGTAGAGCCACTTGTTTTGTTTTTTTTTAATTTTTGTGAAATAAAAAGTGAAAGAAACTCCACTTGTTCTTCTGATTTATCTCCTCCTTCGTGTTGTTCTGGTTCCACAGAGCTGCAGCTGAACCAGAGTGAAGAAGAAGAACAAACCTGGAGGCTGCTGCTCAGAGTCCAGACGGTTAAATGAGCACATACGTGAAACATCTGATGGCCTCAGCAGCAACATGTAGAGATGAACGGACTGCAGTGAAAAATGAGCCCTCGGTGACTACAAACCAGTCCTAACACCGTCTGAGGCCCATTTTTACCTGCAGATCACCTGTTATAATCTCCTTTAAGGTCTTTAATCCATAGCTGTGATTTAAAACGTTCAGATGAAGCTGCTGACCTTCTCCAGAGCCAGCAGGTTGACCTCCGACTGCAGCCTGAGCTCCGGCCTGGCGCTCTGCTGCTCTCTGTAGAGCTGGAACTCTTTCTCCAGCTGCCTGTAGCGAGACTCTCCGTCTGCGATCTGCACACAGCCAAACACAGGTGAGCGTCGTCAGGAGTTTACAGGTGAACACGGCGAGTTCGGCAGCCCGCCGCCTCTACCTGCTGCAGCAGCCGGCCTCGCTCCTCCTCCGCCAGCCGGGCTTTGTCTCTCTCCAGCGCCACCCGGTGGTCGCAGTCCTGCCGCAGCCTCCTGCTGCTCTCCTGCAGCTCCCTCTGGGTCAGCTCGTGTTCGGCCCGCAGCTCCCTCTGCAGCCGCTGAGTCTGAACACGGCAATAAAACACACTTAGAAGCAGCTGAGCTCAAACTTCAGAGCACAACACGATGCAACTAAAGGTTCTGATTAACAGTTTAATTAATCAACTGGCCATATGCTCGAGTGATGCAGAACTTCTGACGGTCTCAGCTGCTGCATGTAAAGACTGCAGGAGAGTAAATGACATGTGACACATATTTCAGAGCTCCTCAGATTCTAGATGTTCTCTTCCAGCCTACGTTCTATGTTTGACCACCAGATGGTGCTACAGCGAGCGACGCCGACTGTGTGATGGAGCTGAAGTGAACAAACAGGAGTCGTCTCTGAACAAACACATGGACTGTGTGAACTCTGACCTCCAGCTCGGCCTCAGCCAGCTGCTTCTCCCTCTTCTCCAGATCGGACAGCGTCTTCTGCAGCTGCTCCTCCAGCAGGTTGTACTCCACCTCCTGCCGAACACAGACACGTTAGGCTCTGGCTTCACGCCGTCACGCCGAGGATCTGGGTGGATGTGAGTGGATGTGAGTGGATGTGAGTGGATGTGAGTGAGCTCTCCACCTTCTTCTTGACCAGAGCCTCCCTCTCTCGGTCCCTCCTCCTCCACTCCTCGGCCAGCGCCTGCATGTGGCTCGACTCCTTCCTCCTCAGCTGAAACCAAACGCACAGACGTCTTTCATGCTTTCGTGAAAAAATCCTGCAGAACGTCTCACAGGCTCAATAAACTGTAAAATGAACCCGTAGCAGAAAGTTGATCAGGATGAAAACCAGCAGCACGACGCTGCAGCTGTTTGCTGGTTCTGGTTCCTACATTTACATCTGACTGACGTGAAAAATCAACATTTAGCTGTTCATAAATGAGTAAAACCTAAACTTTAGAATGTTCTTCAACACTTTATGAGCTATCGTGAATTAAAATCTGCCACACAGATGATTGAACAACCAAAGCAACATCACTGCATTTATATTATGTTAAAAAAATGCCCTGCTTGATTTAAAACTTCTGACTTTTGCATCTCGTCTTATTTCTAACTAAGCCCCAAATCATTCATACTCGTATTAAATGGTGACTTGTAATGAATTTGACCTGGCCAAGGTGCTTCTTCTGGCTAAAAATGACATAAAGTGACTAATTTTATCCATTTCAATGACTTGTTTTTAATATATTTATGTATATTTACTGTAAATGCAACGTCAAGAACTACTCGTACTCCTCTGAAATGTTGTAAATTGTTCAGAAAATGCAGCTTCTATATAATTTCTCATAATTTCTGACATATTCTTGAGCATTTTAATATAACACATGTATATATTTAACATCTCTAAATCAATGTCTGACTCTCTTTTGTCACTTCTAACGTTTAAGTGTTCATAAATTATTAAAAATCTCAAATGACTCAACATAAATGTGGCAAACAGATGATTTATTCAACAATCACTGCATTTATATTATGTTAAAATTGCACTGATTCATTATAAAATTCTAACTTTTGCGGCTCGTCTTATTTCTAGAGTTAAAGTTGAGCCCAAAATCATCTGACTGATATTAAGTTTTTCCTTTTTAAAGTTGCTTCAGACTGATGGTGACAAACTTTAACCATTTCTGAGTTGTTGTTTTTTAAATCTATATTTTTATTTTTTTACTATAAATGCAACGTACGAAATTACTTCAGACTGTTTCTGAGACAACGTTTTACTGTCTTCTGTCAGTTGTTTACGTCATTTCCAGCCAATAGAAGTTTAATAATCAAATAAAAATCTCGTGTCTGAGTGAGTATTTCAGACGTGATCACCTGGTCGTCGAACAGATCCTCCTGCTCCTCCTTCCACAGCTCCAGCTCCAGAGCCGTGCGGTACTCCAGGGTGTCTCTGGGCGCCGCCGGCCGGGCGTCGGCTGCAGGTCGGGGGGCTGCCGGGTGGGGAGGAGGTGGCGGCTGGGGGTGAGCTGGAGGTTCACTCTGGAGACGCAGGAGAAGAAAACCAGGAGACAAAAAAAAAGTTTGGCATCTAAAACGGACGTCATCTGATTTTAGACTTGTGGTGATGAACCAGGACTCAAGCAGCCCTCCTGTCTGATTATAGTTTTCTTTACGTCGCTGATATGAAGTCACGTTTGGTTCGGCTGCTCTCAACGTCCATGTTTTACCTCCACCTGCCGTCTCACCTGCGAGGACTCGGACACGACGACCTCGGCGGCCTTCACCAAGCCCAGGTCCTCCAGCGTGGCCACGTAGCTCAGCTCTGCCACCGCCTCCCCGGCTCTGATGGACGGAGAGGCAGCGTTAGAAACGGTATCTGGTCTGAACCTCTGTGAAGGAATCTGTCAAACCGGAAACTGCAAGTGTCTTTTCAGACTTCATGTGGCTGTAATCAGGTTTTCAAACGTGTAAATAAGAAACTCTGCTGATGTGTTGAAGCGTGTAAAGACATTAATAGATGAAAAGTCTAACTAAAGGCTACAGGGTCAGGTCCTGGTCCTGGTTACAAGAATGAACCTGATTAATTAGAGGCTGTAATTGCATTTTAACAAACAGCAACATGTGACACAGTAAGCTGTTCAGTTCAAATCCATTCTAGCTGACGACTGAATCAAAGAACAGACATGAACTTAAACCTAACGTTTGTTTTTCATTATTTATTTATCTGCGTGTTTCATCCGTCTGCTGCGTTCACAGATCAGTGAAACTACAGTGGTTATGTTCTACATGTTGAGGCTTCTTGTCTTAGAAGTCTTTGTTGCACGATCTCATCCTCCATCACTGTTCACCAAACCTTCTCACTCAGTGCATCCTGAGCATCATCTCCTTCAAACCAACTTCAGGTGCATCAGCGCCACCTAGCGGCCGGAGTGTGTCATCAGCGTTACAGGTGTGACAGAAATAAGGGAACTGAGGAAGGTGCAATTAACTTGTTAAAGCCCCAGCCCTACTTTTTTCCTTTTTTTACTTCTACCTTGACAGATTCACATCTGTAGGTGGAAGGTTTCTGTGCCCTGAGCTCAGGCTCACAGGCTCGTCCTTCATCGGTGAAAACTTGCTCAGCTCATGAGAGTGGCTCTATGTTGTCAGCT